CTACGCCCTCCTGTGCAGTCAGACGCGGGCCATGTAGGCCTTCAACTGTGAAACATCCTCAATCTTCAAATTGAAGCGGCAACATCCTTCTAGGGCTGCGGGACCTATCACGATCGACACACTGTACAGATACACCACAAGTGGCAGTGTTTACAGTGTCACTCAAAGCAGAGGTATCGGTTCCAACATGACTACTCGGCACACCCTCATGCTCAGAGCATGCCTCAGCAGACAGCTCATGTTCCGAACACAAAGCCTCCTCCGACTGGACCGTAGCACCCACATGAGGAACATCCACGGCACATTGTCCAGAATCATCACATCCAGCATGTACAGGGCCAGGACAAAGAGGAGCAGGACAACCATGTGGGGCGTTCGGACCAGGTGCATGAGGAGGAAGCACACGAGGAAGGTCACAAGGAGGAGGTGGTACACATTGAGCAGTAACACCCAGGTGTGCTACACATCCAGCTGTTTGGGCATCCTCTTGGTCAGCCGCTTCATGGCTACCACAAGACGGGATACCTTGGACCCCCTCAACTTGACATTCAAGAGGAAGTAGCTCAGGTGAAGTACGCATATCCTCAACGACCCCATCCAAGACAAGGTGACACTGTTCACCCACAGCCGAGAACATCCTGTGGACCTGCGAAGCCATCCTCTCACGTAGCTCGGATCCCGGCAGTCTGGACTCACCATCTGCTCGTTCACGTAGTACACGACTCACAACCTGCATTAGGGCAATGAGCCGATCAAGACCATGACAAGCAACTTGTAACGCCCATCTCGCCGTTCGCACATCGCCCGGAGGTACAACCCGCATGGTATCCAGGAACTCCGCCAACTCAGTGCGACAACGTCGGTACACCCACAAGTCCTGAAGCTCCTCGCCTTCTGTGCTAAGTAGTGGAAGCATCTGCATAAACACCCCCTCGTCTGTGACGTCCCCACCACTAGGACGAGACACTCTGTCACTTCCTGGCTCTGGCTGTTCACGTTGTGGTTCTGCTGGTCCTCCTTCTTCAGCAACAGCCTCGCAACGATCATCATGTTCACGCCCTTCACTGGAAGGCAGGTGGCCTGGTGCACGACGTGCAGATCGCGAGCGCGTTCTGGGAGGAGCACTTGACGACGCTGCGACCGTGGCAAGCACATCCCTGGTTTCCTCGTCCACAAGTTCGTCACCACCTGCAGCTTGACGTCCTCCCACTTCACTTTCATCTTCCTCAGCATACCCATAGCTGCTAGGTGGGAACACCCTCAAATCTGATGGGAGTTGGTCGGGATCCATCCACGCAGCAGCAAGTTCATCATGTAACGTGTCGAGGAAGGCCCTCGACATAGCGACAACCAAAGCATGAGACATCTGCACTGCCCCTCCTCGAGCGTCACCATCAGGAAGGATACATGGGACACCCCTGAACCGGCGCCGAATAACACAAGCCAAAGCATCCTGTACTGCTATAGCACGCGTCGCAGCCAGGTCAACGACTCGAAGACACCACTCAACATCCTCAGGCCCAACATCCCCTTGTGGGGGTTCCATTCTTTCAACTCTGCAAAGCTCAGCAAGAAATTGACCCAACGCCCCCACTGTCTCACGGCGAACACCCATATTGGACAGTCGTTGTGCTTCTTCAGGTTGAAGGCTCTGAACCAACGAACTGACCTCTTCACTTCGCGTAGCAACATCCACAGCAGAAGCACCATCTTCAGCAACTGTAGCGGTACCACCCACCGTCTCCGACACCTCAGGACCCAGTTGTACTGTGGCAGCACCCGACGCGGATGAGGCAACTGTCTCATCACCCGACCCAAGTACAATCACCGCATCTTCGTCATTAGCGCTTCGTCCTCTTCTTGGCTTTGCTGGTGTTGTCCCACTGGAGCTGCCCACAACCCTCGGTGCCCGTCTCGTAGATGGCCTGCTTGAAGATGAGGATGAGGAACTTCTCGACCGCGGTGACCGACTACGCTCTGAACGTCCTGCTGCATCCATGGCCCGACCATCACGTCCATCAGAAGTGGCAGGAAGCTGTGGAGCCACCACCGGCAGCTCCGACCGTCTCATCTGGACATCCACCATCCATTCCAGAATCCGTCCAATGACGTGAGTCCATTGTCTGTTCCACGCCACGCTTCTCGCCCTCATAGCCGCATTTCTCGGTGTTCGAACCACAGGGTAGTATGGCAAGGGACTCCCCACGTTGGCACGTACAGCAAGGAGTTGTACAACATCTTGAATGTTGCGACACCCTTCTCCAGGCCTGCACCCATTGGCCCAGCCCCCAACGATATTCAGCACCTGCATCATCCTGCTGGTGTTGCTCCAAGGTCCGCATCATATCCCGAATGGCTCGGCGAAGATCATCCGGGATCTAGAGCTCATGGAGGACATGCTCTTCCGCCTCGCTGAGTTGCATCATGTTCATCTCCTCAAATTCCACACCCATGTGTACTTGCATGAAGCCCACGTCATCGTCATCTGCAACGAAGTACGCGTCCTCAACAGCGGGCACCCCATTTTGCGACCAGTCAACAACCATGGCGTCCCCAACCACCCATCGTGCCCAATCCTCCCACTGTGTAACCGTCCACTTTGGTCTTTGTGCTTGACGCCCTACACTGCGAGGGGGATTGTGCACGAGATTGAGGACCGCGGCAAATTGTGCACGTGCCGCTCTAGCTTCTTCACTGTCTCGAGCTGGTACACCCCTGTGGAACGCAGAACGTCCCATCATTCCAAGAGTCCAAACGTCCTTGCCTCCTTTGTTGCCGTACTGGTCCTTGCCCACCACGGTGATCACGTTCTTCCGACTCAGTGCGGCTTCTGCTGTGCCACACCCCATACCTCCAGAACCCTTGTGGATGCTGACGGTGTCGACTGTTGTGGGGTAATGAGGTGGAGCTCGAAGCAGGCCGCGAGGAAGGCATAGGATCTGTAGAGCTCGACGCCGGAGCGTCTCGAGAGACATCCTGTGTAGGTCTCGTCCTCGGAGCGGTAGACCCAGGCCTCACCGAAGACGCCCGATGAGGAGTATGCGACGAACTTCTCCCACCACTGGCCTGATAATCACCCTGTTGATAACGTACTCCTTCCCATCTTTCATGTCCGCGTTCATCACCCCATCGCCATTCATCCCATTCTGCTGTACGTCCCCGGCCATCACGACTCCATTCCCATCCACTTCTTCCCCACCACGTGGAGTCTTGCGGTTCTTGAGCCCATTGATTGCTCCAACCGTCTTGGTGCCATTGTCGTCCTTGGTGACGTACCCACCCTCCACCATCCGAATCCTGCCATCCTTCGTTATTGCCATACCATCCGCCATGCCAAGCTTGTGGACTAGTTTGTGGTACAGGATCTCGAGCAGGTTCTGCTGCACCATTCCACCCACCATGCCATCCTCGTTGACGTGCACGCGGAGAACGTTCATGATCATGTTCTGCAGAGGTATCACCCTGAGCTTCCAATGGAGTTTCATCTGCCCAGTCATACCATCCCTGTGTTGTATCAGAAGGCACATTCCACGCGTTGGCAGTGTGCTCAGGGTACGGTTCAGGTTGTGGTTGTGTGTCGGTCGCGGCGTCATCAGACGTAGTTGTTGTAGTAGAGGAGGAACACACCCACGTGCAGCTTCCCTCAGCGCTAGAGGAGGAACTCCCCGAAGCCCAAGTCAATGTCGTGCTCGTAGAGGTGCATGACGACATCCAAGAGGGGGTTGACATGCACACATCTTCCGCAGTCCCAGATGCCACACCCTGCAGGAAGCCGCAGAAGCCGCCTGCCACCGTGGCCCAAAGAAGGCAACGCCCCAGCCGCGCCATTCGGAACGGTTGATCGAATTGAGGGGGTTTAGGGTTTGGGTTTTAGGGTTTAGGGTTTAGGGTTTAGGGTGGTTTAGGATAGGGAGTGCTGTTGGGGTCTTGGGAGGCCTTTCGTGCCCTTGGGGTGTAGGGGATACGGTACAGGGAAAAGTCCGATGTTGATCAGACAGACAAAAGGCACTTTGGAGCCAGTCGGGCCTCCACAAAGAACCTCTCAACTTCGAAAACATTCACTTACTGTAGAGGCCTTAATAATTAACTAGAATAGGGCTTTGGGGGCCCACTAGACTATGATTAAAATGAGGAACCCCCAAAATAGTATAGGTAGTTACTCAGGCCCCTGTATTAACGCGAAACACGAGACCGTATAGAGCTGTCAACCCTGAACCTTCTACCAGCAATCCTCAATCCGAAACCTACAGCCAGTTTAGGGTATATAGGGCTTCTATAAAGCTTCTATAAGGTATATAGACCTTCTATACCCTAAACCCTAAACCCTAAACCGTCTCCTCTAACGGTAACTACCCAGCTGAAGATGTCCCTAGACTTACACCTCAGAGGCCCCCAACCTGCAGACGCAAACTCGATCCATGGCTGCGGATGGCGGATGGGAGCTGCCTTGGCAGGGCTCAGGGCTTCAGGGTTTAAG